CTGATGAGACCTGCGGAGGAGTGGAGTACACCATGACAAACACTGATCACGCTGTCAGATACCGACAGGCGTTATAAGGGGAATCGTCTTTTTCCGACACACGTATCGGGATTTCACAGCAGAGTCCTTGGAAATGCTCTGTGACCATCGAACGAAGCCACTGTTCCCAAACCTAAGCAGTCTGAGCTGGCGCGTCCAGACTAGACCGTCTCACATTCGATTCTCCTCTTTGTGCATATCCCCTTCATTGAAAAGTTTCACCGCCACTTTCGATTCCAGTTCGACTACATTGAACATTCTGACCAGAGTACGGAGCTGTCCGTCTATTAGCAAAGTGCTCCTTCACCCAAAAGGCAATATGTCATCCTCACGATCCGAGTCCTCGTACGTTCTTGCATCTGTCACCAGGGCTGTCTTGTCGTGGTCGCATATTACGGAACTTGCCATCATTGAGGTGCCTCTCAATGAAGCTCTATTTCTTCACATCGCTCGTCTCCCGATGCTCACAAGTGCGGAATTGTGGATAGGCTCAAATTTCAACGTGAAACAATCCATCAACACACACTTGACTGAGCCCTCCTTGGGATTTAAAAAGTTGTCGCACCTCAAGTTGGCACTTCAGTGCTCAACAGATCTGGACGATGCTACCTATCTCATCCTATCCGTCCAGTCACTCAACTTGGATACTTATCGGCTCGATATGAAAGGATATCCTACGGAAGAAGCAATGTCCCTTCACATTAGAACACTGGCTGACCATTCATCGTTGCACTCTGTCGAGTTGATTGCTAAGCCTGAACTGAGTCACAGCGACTTGGATACCAAATTCGTGATGTCGATGAACACACTTCGCCCTCTACTTTGCAACCCTAATATCACAAGTTTTAGGATGGAGGGCTTTGCGTTCAAAATGACCGACGACGATGCACATTTAATGGCTAAATCATGGGCGCAAATCGAAACGCTTTCGTTGATATATAAAGATGCAATATCTCGACGACCTGGGGATCCGGGCCGTTTCAGCGGAAAAGTACTCATCTCATTCATGATTCATTGCACCAAATTGTGATACCTCTGGCTTTTTCTCTAGACGAAGACGCCGGTTGAAAATGTTTGGAACCATATCGTCCCTCCTGCTCGTTCAACGACAGAACCGCTCACTCTTGTCATCGAACTAGCAAAGTCCGATGGCGATTATTTGGATTTTGCTGATTTCCTATCGGTGATAATGCCTAGTGTGAAGATAGTCATCCCAGAAGAAGAAAATAGAAACCATCCTGTGGTAGTTCATGAAATGAACCAGAAGCTAGCCATGTTGACCCAACTCGTCAAACAATTTGCGGATATTCGGGAAGAAGAAAGGAGTTTTCTGCAGGAGCCCCTCGAGGAAGATCAACATTGTCCTCAGTGTTATAAAGCCGGAGTAGCAGAGGAGGTGAGCATTTTGTTCAGAGTATCGATGTTTTATTATTGACGTCGAACCGACCCTAGTGAAGTATGAGATGGTTAGACAACGCTAGTACTGTGACACAACCAATCCGAGGAACATACCGGCTGTACAACGCCCAACTAATTTCGTTGCATACTTTAGTTCACCACGTCATTGTACTTTCATTCCTGTGTCTCAACAAATTCTATTAGAATCAAACGAACGTGGGGCTGCTTCGGGAAAGCTGCGCGACATATAAGTTACATAAAGTATCGATACAAAAAACAAATGAAAAACAGCAGAAAATTAGAACGATTACTACCATGCGTTCTAAACCATCATTTATCGTATCCAAAATCTATACTCTAACAAGGATCCATGAACGGGGAAATCCATTATATAACCATCATCTCCTTCCAAGATCAACATGACCCACAGCAATAACTTTTCGAAAAGGATGTCACGACTTTGTACTTGGTTCAGGAGGATTAGGCGGTGCTAACGGATCTATGTCCAAAGCACTGTTCCCCTTCGTCTCTTCCTGCGATGCGCTTCTTTGTTCGGCAAAGGCGTGAAAAGCTTGTTCAACCCACATACTGTGGTACAAGCCTCTTCGTCGCATTAATTCTCTGTGGGTTCCTTGTTCGAATACAGAGCCGTCTTTGAGAACAATAATGAGATCTACAGATAAAGAAAAACGTCATTAGTCAAGTTATGTGTATCACATTAAGTGAAATTACTGACCAGCTTCGACAACCGTTCGTAACCTATGGGCAATGAAGATGCTTGTTTGCATTTTTTCAGCCAGGATTGCATTAATATTCTTCATCAGTTCTGATTCTGTATGAGAGTCCAAGGCTGATGTCTGTCACGATCAACGTGTCAGTATCACATTTTAGATGACGATGAAAGTATAAGATGAACGTACGGCCTCGTCGAAAAATAGAATAGGCGGATCCTTCAGCAGAACCCTAGCAACAGCCAACCGTTGCTTCTCCCCACCGGAAAGCATCAAGCCTCGTTCCCCAACCTCAGTATGGTATCCGTCGTTCAACCTCAATATGGCTTCATGGACATGGGCTTTCTTGGCTGCTTCGACAACTTCTTCATCCGTAGCGTTGATCCTCCCGTATCTGATATTATGCATCACGTCCGAATGAAAAAGAGGTGTTTCCTGTGGAACGACACCGATCGCTTGTCTTAGACTCTCTAACTGAACATATTGGATATCCTGGTCATCGATGATGATTCTTCCTGATGTTGGCTCGTAGAATCGAGAAATTAGTCGAAGGAGAGTTGACTTTCCTGAGCCGGAGGGTCCAACAAATGCTACTTTCTTTCCGGCCGGGATCGTGAATGTAAGGTCTTTGAAGATGGGTCGCGATGGGTAGTAGGCGAAGTTGACGTTTTCGAAACGGACAGATCCACCGGAGAGTTTTAATGGTTTCGCTTCTGCTTTATCCTACGAAGCAAGACATATCAGACTATTGTGTGATGATATAGAGAGAACTAGATGATATACTAACCTTGCAAGATTCGAGCTGGGTTTGCAAGTTGAAGAGAATCTCCATATCCAATAAACTCTGTCTCATGTCGCGATAGACAGTCCCAAGGAAATTTAACGGTAGTGCTAGCTGAAAGACCAATTGATTGACCATGACAAGATCACCGACCGTCATCGTGCCTATTGTCATGAAGAGTGAGAATCGGTAAATAATGCTGAAGATGACCACATGAACGTTACCTTTGACCATCCCTTGAGCAGCAAGGAACATCATAGCGGTCAGAGCTGAGGAAAATATGATGTTCTGGCCCGAGTTCAGAAAAGCTAACGAAGTCGCAATCTTTATTGAGGCTTTCTCGTACGCAGCCAAATACCTATCATATTGTGCCACTTCGAATTTCTCATTATTGAAATTCTGGAAAACAATCAACAACGATTCAACGTGTAGCAGTCACAGTTGAACAAACCTTCACAGCTTCAAAGTTGATGAGAGAATCAATTGTGACTGTAGCAGCTTTATTATCAGCTGCGTTCGCTTCACGACGGAATTGGCCTCTGCGGAAAAGTTTGAAATGAACGCGAAGGACGTGCCTGATAAAACTTACCTCCAATCGGTAGTACGAATAGTGAACCATGAGTAAGCACCTAGAGTAACTGCCGTTACGGCAGCAAAGTCCCAGCCGAATTTATAAGTCTAGTAATCTGGAGGTCAGAGGAATGTGAGAGGTATCCAGAACAAGAAGTGACCTACTAAAAGACCACAGACGAGAGATATTTCGAAAAGCGTTGGGGCAATCCGGTAGACGATAGCAGAAAGAACAAATGTAATACCCCTGTGAAAGATGAATTTGACGAAAGGCGTGGAAAAGGTTTAGGTGCATACTTCGTGCCCCGGTCAATTGCTCTGTTCAATCCACCTGTTTGCCGTGTTAAGTGGAACTTCAGGTCGACATTGAGCAGATGTTCGAAAGTCTCGCGGGCGACTCTCCTGACTGCACGTTGACCAACACTTGCAAATGTGGAATTTAAGAGTTCGCCGAAGATAGTGGCTCCGATTCTTGCAGCTCCGTCTAGATATCTCAGGTCGATGTAATTAGAGGAAACCTAAGGGATTTCACAATTGGGAAAACGGCATACATCCTAAAATCAGAGATCCAGCAATAACCCACACCGTTGAATCCGATGTCATTTCAATGTTGAGCGCGTCGATGATTTGTTTGAATATGACGGGGACTTGAACATTGAGAAGCTACATTTTGAAATTCAATCTAAGTTAGTGATGGAGATAGAACGGCTTTCTGCTAACCTTTCCTGAAATCAAGAGACCGAAACCTAACAAGACCTTTCCCCGCGTTCTCCAGTCATTTGACGGCCATACGTTCACCACCAGCTGCTTGATGAGTTTCCAGTCTCTCTTTCTCTGTTCTTTTCGAGACAGTTGATGATATGGGACTGGTACAGGCGTCACCGGAATAATATCCTTAGGCAGAGGTGAAGACAGAGGTGATCCTTTGGATGGCGGTGCTATACGATGAAATTTCCGGAGATGAGAAAAGTAGCATGGACGACAGAGTGCGATGGGTGTCAGGCGGGCTGGAGAAAGTGAGGGTCGCTGCCGCAGAGCAGCAGCACCCCGCAGATAGATGCTCATGGAGATGATGGTCGGCGAAAGCAAGCATGTCGGAACGGGTGTATAAGAGCTTTATGACGCTCCGCCAATAATTTGTAGTCGACAGTCGAGCGACTCACGAATACTGGCGAACATTTCGCCCGTGAAAATAACAGCTTGCCTTTTTGGGACTCAAGATCTCGGTCTTAATCGGCCGCACAGAGATTATCAGATAAAACACTGAGATCCGTGAGTCAGGATCTTTCCGCCCGGAGATTTCGTCCAATCAGGTGGCCTCTTACCATAGCTACCAAGATACGTCGCTACTCGACCTCAGGATGTCTGACTGGGACTTGTGAAAAAGATGCTGAGCATCTGGCCAGATCAATGTGAAAAGAAGAAATCATTGATTCCTGCACTGATCAGCCCTCAGGAAAAATCAAAAGCCCGGAGGTTGAAGGTAGTACCAGGGTTCGAACCTGGGTTTCGGGAAACTACTAAACAGTGTTTATCAGAATCCCGAGTGATGACCACTACACTATACCACCATGTTGAATTAGTGATTAAAACGGATTATATGATCATATTTTACATGTACTTAGATCGAGAAACGAGCGCCTAATCAACGTGCTTAGTCATCACGACCCGTGAGAACTTCAAAGCATTCTGTCACGTTCCAAGTCCGACTCACAGAGTCACACTCACACTCACAAAAACCATTAATCTTTGTCTTTTCATGAAGGTAGATATAGACTCCATTTTATCGCAGAGAAGTATGAAGAGAAATGGAATTAAAACAAGAATTTAACATTCTTATAAAAGTCAACAATAGGATTCTCCCCATTCTTCAATCTAGTCCGATCCAAATCTGCGTAGGTCTCCATGAACTCTGCATGAGTGAACACGTTAGACTTCCTCTCTCCAACAGGTAACCCGCTCGAAGATATCATTCCATCCACAGGCGATCTCCTATTCCTCGGATGATACGAGGAGAAGAAATCCCCTCCCAATGTCAATGGCGATATACTTGGTGCCATAGGCGTCACCCTCGGTATCGAGTCTTCGTCAGACGATGAAGCCGATTCGTAGGGCTGAGAAAGTATGTGCTCGTACATATCTCGCAACCTTTCAAAGTCTGTTGGGAAGAAGATATCAAAATAACCTTGTTTGACAAGGAATGTCGTACAGGGGACAGTTGTATTTTGATATCGAGTTTGTACAACCGGACTGTTAATCCCTGGTATTGTATCTGGCAGGGATGAAAAGTCGGAAAGAAGTAGACGATGTCGTGGGAAGAATTTTCGAAGTGTACGGAGGAGACTGAGTAGACGAGTTGGAATGTATTCCGGTTTCGAAAGATTAGGTGCAAATGGGAGATTAGTATATATATTTCGTAGCGATGCAGATCGTTGTAGTATTTGTGATATTGATGGTGAGTGGTTGAGACGACGACGAAGGGAGAGGAAGGAGGCTATCAAAGGGTCCGTAACACGGGAGAAATATGTGCTGAAGTCTCCGTTTTGATCAATAGTGACCAAACCTTGATACGGCTCCAGAGTTTGAAGGTCATAACGAATCATGTCATGCGCAAAGTTATCCTGGGCAATGGCAAGGGTGTGTCTCTTCAAGATATTGTACGGGGCATGTGAAGAAAACACTCACGATAACTTCCATCGCAAGGAAGAAGCAAGGTGCGGGTTCCAGTTTATTCCAATGGAATATGCTCTTGTGTGTGATAGTAACACACGGATGTGCCTCACCCAACTTCTCCCTTTGTAACCGTGCCAAATTCCCGCTAATCTCAATGATATTATACCTCGTCCGGTCATAGACATCGGGATATTCATCTCGAATGTAATCCAAGATGTCTTGTGCTAAGGTTCCGTTCCCAGCTCCAATTTCGTACACGACGAAATCTTCGTAGGGAAAGTATTTGAGGAGGTATTCAGAAACTAGACATTGAGCGATAGCTTGACCATAATAAGGCTACGTTTCATCATCAACTCTTCAAAATGACAAAAAGAGGGCGTATAGATGAATAAGGGAAACTTACCTTGAATAGTTCTGTAGGAGTATGCCAGATTTGTCTACCAGGTCCTTGGTCTCCATCTAAACCATACCCTTCATACATCTTCGCAACTTCTTCTTGAAATTCCACAGAGTTACGTATCGAGTTGAAGTTCAGTGGTTCTCGTCCTTCATCCTCTTTCGCAGATGGACCGGTGGAGAAGATGGTAGCTTGTTTAGGGAAGTAACCATAGTTTGGGTTATAGAGTGAGTCTTCGATGAAATCCCTGACTAGCATCTTGACTTCTGTTGGAGGATTCGCATTGTTGAGCTTTTCCAATTCATTTGAGGTTACGGTACGGTATTTGAGTTGGGTTGGGTCTGGAGATTCATTGAATGATATTGGAGGGTTATAGTTGAACTTGTCGCGTGGTTTTTTCGGCTTTTTGGACGCGTTGTAATTAGGAGAATAGATTGAAAAGCCAGAGGTTTGGAGACGAAGTAATTGGTGAGTTGTTGGCCATAATGATCTTGTTCCTCGAGCTCGTAGCTGTCTCGGAACGATCATGAACCCTTACGGCTTCCAAGGTGTGAGTGTAAGCTTTACGGTGGTTTGTTGCGTGGCGGCAGAAACAAAAGGCAAACAGGGACGGTACCTGTTCAGAGTACAGAACTGGGAGACGCTCACACACAACGGCCTGGGACCTGCATCCAATCCTTATCATTATCCATTCAAACTTCAAAACAATACTTCGAAGTTATGATGATGACGGTTACATATCATATGTAAACGGCCGAGAATATCATTACAATTACGCAAACGATTTGAGAGAAATGTACGAGTACAAGAAACACTATACAAACATCGACTTGAAATCACCCCGCAAGTAAACACCAAAAGAATCCAAAACTTTGAGAAAGGTAAGCGGGATGTACGAGGAAGAGAAGATACCCATATCGTCTCCTGAACGATAGTAGGGTATGTCTTCACACTCGTTAGCTCGACGAATGGATTTGAGGAGGAAGATCCAGATGAAACCCTTCCCCTTTCGACGCTTTCGTCCGAGTCGCAGCACCATTCCTGCCGACATGAGCAACAGCTCTGACTTGGACACTGGACTGTCCACCAGTTAGCTTACGTATACGATGAGCAATCCCTTCACTCATATTCGCTATACGTCCTTTGACAGAACTTGGATGTGACGCCTTCCTCCCGACGAAACGCATTCCATAGACTTCGAGTTGTTTACGGAAGCCTAGGTTAGGACATACTATACTTCGTCTTTCCATAACGTAGTCTAGAGCTTCTGTTGGGTGCATTGATTGCGTGGCCATCAGGTAGGCACACACAACCGTGGCGGAACGTGAGATGCCCATTAAACAATGAACCTAGAGAACGGCATTCATGTAAGCGCACGTATCAGCTATAGAAGTGAATGTGATGCTTACCAAAACCTTGTTCTCTTCATTCTCTGCCAAAGCAGCCCTGATGAATTCAGTAGTGGTATCGAGATGATCCAGAATGTTGGTATCAGAAGTGTCGCTCAAGGCAATATGTAGAGTCTTGACACGCGATGAATATTTAGGAGGATGCTCCAAAACAGAAACTACATGTGTAACCCCAAGAGCTTGTAATTGTTTCTCGTCTCTTGCCGTTAAGAAATTCGAAAGGTAGAGACGTGGAATGATGAGAGATGCGCTATGGACGACCGAAGTACGGTGCGTTTGAACGTTGGCTGATTTGAGTAGAGCAGATTGCCATGTCGCGTTTGTCGCCGCAGATGAGTATGAGAGCATCTGAATCTGCCAAAGTCAAGTTCTGTATCGAATCTCCGGAGATATAGGATGAGATTTCACGACAGAGATGAGTTATGAAGCTTATGAAGAGTGGGGATTGGGGGCGTGAAACGATAGATGGTGGTTGTGGTTTGAAGTAGACTTGCAGCGCAGCCACCACGCGCGGTAATTAGTGCCCAGCTTGACTTGTTACCTCTGCCTCGACGATCGTCGTTATCTTTTCTGCACTTGGCAAGAGCCACCGCGGTTCTAGTTCTCTGGAAAGGACATACACGTTTTGACAAGACTCGAGTTGGAGAACCTTGGGAGAACCTGAAAGGGTTGGAAAGAGATTCTACAGACCGCATATCCGCATATGTCACAGTTCGTACTCTCGCGAAACAGGCTCACGACTGCAACTGACTTTTGGGATAGAGATTCTGCAGAAACACTGCGCGGAGAATCACAATGGCTCAAAACCGCCGGAGACGGAACGAGTTATCCTATCGACGATGTAGAAGCCTTTGAACTTCGGCCAGATGGGTCATTATTCCAGAATCCGTCCACCATACAACCTTCATATAAAGAAGGAAGTACTATTGATTGGTTCTGGGAAGAAGGGACCGAAAGAGAACACAAACGAGCTCTGCATTCACTGCGTGGCATTCGCAAACTATTGGCTCCAATATTGGAATCATCCTGGACGTGGATTGTGATCATTCTCGTCGGCGTAGGGATTGGTGTTGTTGGTGCTTGGCTTGATATTCTCGTCAAATGGTGTGTACCTTCGCTTTTATATGATGAGCTATTGCTGAGGGAGGCATAGGTTAGGCGATTTAAGAGAAGGTCGATGTACGCACGGATTCCTCTACAACCAAGTGGCCTGCTGCAGTGGATTAGACCGTGAGTTTAACACACCCTCATTATGCATCATTTAACCCAATTCTTGTAGCTGGAGATATATGCACCGAATGGGCCACCTGGAGTGAATACTACAATGTCAAGTCCATCCTTGGACAGTCTATCCTTCAGTTAACATTTTACATTGTTCTTGCCGTAAGTACATCCACGTTCTACCCGCCTATCTGAAGATATGTTCTCAAACATTAGCGAAGATTGCGTTTGCAGGAAGTGCGGCGGTTCTCGTAACACATTATGCGCCATAGTGAGTATTCATGTCTACAGTTTGTATGCATATGGCAGCTGATCTCTTGAAATAGCGCATTCCATACAGGAAGTTCGTAACTCTCTCTATCGGAAGTATTGACAACTAATTTTGACCTCGATATATGCGTCTTTAGTTCCAGAAATTAAAGCGGTTGGTACCTTATTCCGCCAACTTCAGGACCCAATGCTCAATCCAACTGTAGATTCTCAGTGGATTTGTCTTCGATCGATTTCTGGGTGCATGGACGCTACTGATCAAGGCTTTGGGGCTCGCTTTAGCTGTAGCGTCTGGTCTATCCCTCGGCAAAGAGGTGTGTTTAGTTCCCTGGCAATATGCAACGTTCAACTGAAGTTATGGTTAGGGTCCCTTAGTTCATGTTGCGTGCTGTATGGCGTATCTTTTGTCTAGACTACTTAGACTCAAGCAGAGCGAAGGTATCCATCCACATCTAACCAAAATGGAAACGTTGAATTAATCGAGCATTATTGTGTTACAGCTCAGAAACGGAAACTGCTCGCAGCGGCAGCGTCAGCTGGTGTATCTGTTGCATTCGGAAGCCCACTAGGAGGTGTCCTGTTTGGCCTTGAAGAGCTTGAC